CAAGACAAATCCAAGAAATATGATAGATCTATTCAGCATTTGGAAGACACCATCAGAAGGCCTACTCTGAGGATAATGGGTGTAGAGGAGCAACTAGAGACAGAAGTTAATGATCTAGGAAATTTATTTAGCAGGATCCTAGCAGAGACTTCCCAAACATCCAAAAAGATAGGCCTATTCAGATACAAGAAGCTATTAGAACCACAAATAGACCAAAACAAAAATATCCCACTGTCACATTACAATCCGTACAGGATAAATTAGGACCAAGAAAAGATAATTAATGCTGCCAAAGAGAAAAGATCAATCACGTAAAATGGGAAACCAATTAGAATCATCTCAGATTTCTAGGCAGACACAATTAAAGCAAGAAGAGCTTTAAAAAGCAAGAAGAATGATGTATGCCATTCCCTAAAGACAAACAACTATCAACCAAGAATACTGAACCCAGCTAAAATCTACTTCATAACCAAAGGTCAAATAAAAACCTTCCCATAGCAAAAAAAAATTGAAACAATATATCTCCACCAAACCAGCCCTACAAAAGATACTTAAAGATGTCAAGATACTTAAAGATGTCCTACACATAGAAAACCAACAAGACCACAATAAAGGCGAAGAAACCACACCCAAACTGAGAATCCAAGAACCATAGGAAGGACCCAGTTGCCCTAAGCCCCCTAATGGTGGATAACATGGCAGGAACTCCCAAACATCTCTCAGTCCTAACTCTCAACATTAACGGACTGAACTCTCCAATTAAGCAACATAGACTTTCTAGTTGGATTGAAAAGCAAGACATTTCTATCTGCTGCCTTCAGGAGTCACTCCTTGTCCATAAAAACAAACACATTTTGAAAGTGAAGGCTGGACAAAATCTACCAAGCAAATGGCCTGCATAAACAGGCGGGAGTTCCAATCTTAATATCTGATAAAATACGGCAAATGAAAATTAGTGAGAAGAGATAAATACGATGGCTACATACTAATTAGGGGATCTCTCCTTCAGGAGGATATTACAATGATAAATAAGTATTCACCAAACAACGGAGCACCCAAATTTATCCAAGAAACACTACTTTCCCACAAATGCCACATAGATCCAAAGACATTAATTGTTGTGGATTTTAACACACCACTATCCCCACTACATAGATCAACTCGCAAAAATTCAACAGACAAACCAAAGATCTAAACAACTGGAAAAATCAAATAGATTTAACAGACATCTAAGAATATATCATCCAGCAGCATCAGAATACAAGTTTTTCTTAGCAGCACATGGAACATTTTCCAAAATAGACCACATTTTAGGTCACAAAGCAAACTTGTACAAATTCAGAAACATTGAAGTTATACCTTGCATTCTCTCTGACTACAAGGGAATAAAATTAGAACTCAACACCAAAAGCCACCAAAGAAAGTCCGGTAACACATGGAGGCTGAACAACACAATGTTGAATACCAGTGGGTCATGGAAGAGATTAGAAAGGAAATTCAAGTGTTCATGATATTCAACAAAAATTAACACACAAATTACCATCTCCTCTGGGACACAGCAAAGGCAGTACTCAGAGGCAAGTTTATACCTCTGAGTTCCTACATCAACAAATTGGAGAGATCTGAAACCAAAAATTTGATGAGACATCTGAACCTCCTTGAAAAAGAGCAGCAAGATAAACCCAAATCCATTAAAATTAAATCAGAAATAAACGAATTAGTACCCCCCCAAAGCAAAGAAAGAATCAAAACAAAGAATTGCTTCTTCGAAAAAATTAACAAAATTGACAGACCCTTACCAAGTCTTATCATAAAAAGAGAACACACCCAAATAAGTAAACTCAGAGATGAGAATGAAAACATCACCGCAGAAAGAACCAAGATTCAGAATGTTATAAGGGAATCCTTCTCAAACCTTTATGCCAATAAGTTTGAGAACTTGGCAGAAATGGATCATTTCCTAGCAAATATCAACTTGCCGAAACTAAATCAAGATGAGTTAAACCATTGTAACAGGCCCATATCAAGCACTGAAATAGAAACAGCGATAAGAGACCTCGCATCCAAGAAAGCCCAGGACCAGATGGATTTACAGTGGAATTCTACAAGGCCTTCAAAGCAGAGCTCACACCAATACTCCTCCAACTCTTCAATGAAATTGAAAAAGAAAGTTCATTACAGAATTCATTCTATGGTTCCATCAGAACCCTTATCACAAAACCAGACAGGGACTCATCAAAGAAAGAGAACTATAGGCCCATTTCTTTGATGAGCATTGTTGCAAAATTTCTCAACAAAATTTTGGCCAATTGAATTAAAAATATTATCCAAAAAATCATACATCATGATCATTACAGTAATGCTAGAATTTAACGAGCAAAATAGGCCCAAACAAGAATTATCAAAGGAATTTATTTTCTGACAATTATAAAATATTTAAATAATAAAGTATTCAACGTAATTAAAAAATTGATAAAGTGAACTGTTTTTAAGACTAAGTACAGGAAGTAAAATTATCCTTAGAACAAATGAAAATTACAATAGCTTATAATAAATCTATAGTTTTAGAAAGCCCAGGAAGGAAAGAATCTAACAACCTTGCTTAAATCAAGATAGCATGTTCTGGAAGAACAACTTACCCTGTAGCTCAAGGAATTAGAAATGCAACCCCAAATTAGTAGAAGGAATGAAATCAAATAGAAAAATAGCAATTCAAAACACAGTAGCAATGAGCAATGAATCAAAAGCAGCTTGTACAAAAACAAATGGTTGATAAGACTGAAGTAAAAATCAAGAGCAATCACAGAAGAAATCAACACGTACCTCCCAGAATTCTGGATGAGCTGAATCATAATGCTGAAAAGAATCATATTACTGGAAAACATCTACAGATTCAGTAGAGTCTCCATCCCATTTCCTATCACTTCTTTCACACAAACAGAATCAAGACTAAATTTTATGGAAAAGGAAATTGTCCATTAGCTAGACCTATCTTAAGACACAAGAAAAACACTGAAGTATCACCACACCAACCTTTCTCTTATACTAAATATACAAGTAGCAGAAAAATTTTTGTGTTGAAAGCAGACAGTATATCAGTGAAATATAAGGCCAAGAAATAGTTGTAAATAACTACAGATAACCGATTCTTGGAGGAGTTGACAAAAAAAAATGCCTGGCCTAGAGATGGGACCCTAAGAAAGGTGTGGCAATGTGAAACTGGTTATCTATTTGAAAAACACTGAAATTTGACCCTTTTCTTCAATCTGTATTTTTATAACTCAAAAGTTGATCAGTTATTAAGAGATTGAAACTTTATAAGTATTAGAAAAAATGGGGGACAATATAACTTTAATAGAACTCAAACCAGTCATAAAATAATAACAATTAGCTCTGACGTTGACTAAGTGACAGAAACGGTTTCTTATTTGCAAGTCCTTAAATTCTACTCAACAATAGAAAAAAGTAGCTGTGGTTGCATGAAATTGAAAAGTTTCAGCATAATAAATCAAAAAGTGGGACATCTAAATGAATGGTTGAAACTACTTCTACCTATTCATCTCACAGGTGATTAATAGCATAGTGTAAAATAGTTCCAAAAATTTAAATACTAGTAGAAAAATCCAGTTAAGAAACCAACACATAAGCAGATACATTAAAATTTAAATGGAAAACCAATACAGAAAAATGTTAAACCATATGAGAAATCAGAACAATAAAAATCAAAGTTAGAATGGGTTGAGATCTGAGGATCATGTTTTGAAGCCATCTTGGGCATGGATGTCTGTGAGCCTCTTATCTCTATTTAAAAACCATAAAGTGCCAGATGTAGAGCTTTTACTGAGGAGCTAGAGCAGTAGATTGAGCAAAGAAGCTCAGCGACAGTGCCCAGGCAGTTAGACAAACACAAAAGACAAAAAAATAACCAAACCTAGTAGTGATATATAAGATTTATCTTATATGCCATCTCTGTTCTTGTCTGTGGACAGTTATCTCAGTTTCACTTCTTATACTAGGACTTGAAATGGAGTGCAGATGATAGAGGCAATGACATTTCCTCCTGAAGTAAGTATCAAATTAGCTATTATGCAACAGCCAATTACTTTGTTACTTGGAGGTTTGTGTAGCCATTTTTCTATTTTTTTTCTCTTCGTGTATAGCCATTCATTAGTGACTCTGCTTGAGATCAATAGCCAAGGATATGCATGTACACACATAAAGTAGAACTCATCTTTGGCAGATAAAATTCTCCCATAAGTGATCTTTGATAATGCTTGTTAATATGGAGCATATGTGACATGAAATAATGGTGCAGTGCCTATTTTGAAACATAATTTGTCTAAAATAACAGAGAGAGAGAGAGAGAGAGAGAACAGAGAGACCAAGGGCTTGAAATCAGATACTAGACACTGTCTTTGATCATTTTTGCTTCAGATAGCATTCTGCCATTTCAGCCACAGCACCATTTCCAGTCTGACTGAGTAAATGGAGATACATGTCTCATAGATTTTCATGCCCAGCTGCCTTCAAACATTTATCCTTAGATATTAGTTTCTTGACAATTTAGTGCTAGAATGAGCCAGAAGTCTACATTTTTTTCATTGTCCTCAAAATATAAATGTTACCAAAGACAAGTTCTGAGACAACTGGCCTGTGCAGAAGAACACGTGCCTGCAGCCTTTTTAGTACATAACTTATGATAATGACTTGGGTTGTTTCTAGATACTTCAGTTCATCCTCTGCAGTTACTGCTGTGGGGCAGAAGATACTGGAGTAAAGTAATGCAATTACAGCCCTGGAAAGAGAAGCTATATGGAAGGAAACCAGATTACACAAGCAGGTAGAAATTTACTCAACAGTAGATGGAAGATAACATAATGTAACTGAGCTGTTTCTGATTCAATACGAATGGTGGCAGAGTAGAGAAGACAGAGTTTCCTCATCGTTTGTCTAACCTGAGAACAGAAAAGTAAAGCGAATTAAATTGATGAGTTACTCACAGATTGTTCTCTTCATGTATGGAAGCATCACTATTACTGCTACCTGTTCCCAATGTGTATAGAGGGAAAAACCCAGCAATGATGATATCTCCATCCATGTGTGCTCTCTGCATCATTGTAGAAAAGCAGGTAGTGCCAACTGAGGACCTAACAAGAAGGGGAAGCTGGAGAAGGATTGTGAAAGTCAAAAGGCACATCCCTGACACATCTGCCAAGCTGAAATCCTGGCTGGAAATGAGTCCTACAGTTTCCAGAATATATGTTCAATTATCTTTGTATATGTGCATATGTATCTTTTTATTGACAGAGTTGTGTACTGTAGCCCAACTTTCATGGAAACCTCTTGTACTTCTCCAGTTAGAATGGGTAAAACTCTTCCCTGGGGCTCTGCATCTGAGACCTTGAATCTAGGAGGACAACATAAATTGGAAAACATGTTTGAAGATTCTCCTTCTTCATCCCAGGTGCTATGATTTCCTCCAAGACCACAGATAGTGAGGCCGTAGGGATGAAATTAACTTTGATATATTTGGTGCAACATCTGTGTCAAGAAACTCTCAGAATGAAAGCCATTTGGGATGATGCAACTGGATTGCATCAGAGGATGCCTAATCAGGTGCATGGTGAAATGGCCAGAAAAAATGTATGCCAGCTGGATATGAATCTAAGTTATTAGGTCATCACACCTGTGGGTCATTTCACAAATTAAATATCCATAGCAGCCACAAAATATTGCCAGTTGTTCCAGGCAGATTTCTAAAATATCATGGTCACAGGCCTCCACAACTGCATCTACTTAAATATTCCCAGGAAGCAATGTTGCTGCTGAAATTAGAAGCATTTTATTAAGGTCTCTGGGTGGAATTTGCATCATATATTTTGACAAATTCAAAGATCAACATATTATAAATATATCCTCAGTTAGGTAGTCTCCATGAATCAAGGTCAACCGCAAAACTAAGCTTCACATTTGCATTCTGAACCTTCACACAGACAATTTTTAATAAACTTGCTAACATAGATCACTATATTATTTTTCATGATGTACTAGTGTGAGAATATGTGGTAGTGGAGGAATTTCTTCTTTATCTCAAGCAATATCAGTATCAAATCCAGCTATAATGTTTCTACTTGTCACAAGATATTAGAACCAAATTCTATGTAGAGACCTCCATGGCACTATAGAACAGAGTTACTTCAGAGCAGTGAACACACTCCTCACAAGTCACAGTGGTGGATCACCATACACATATAAACAAAGCAGAATATCTTTAAAATATATACTTTACTTTAAAATAGTACGTGGATAAAGATTTTCAAAGCTTCCACTGGTCTTTAATAGGTCTTTTTTTTTCCTGATCAGGTGTGGGGTTTGAACTCTGGACCTGCCTGCTGTCCCTCAGCTCTTCAGCACAAGGCAAGCACTCTACCATTTGAGCCACAGCACCACTTACAGTTTTGTGGTGGATTATTGGAGATAAGAATCTCAAAGAATTTCCTTCCCTAGCTGGCTTTGAACTTCGATCCTCAGATCACAGCTTCTTGATTAGCTAGGATTGCAGGCATAACCCACTGGTGCCTGGCTTTTTCTTTTATACTTTTATATATGTTACCTTATATAGAATTTTAGACCTTACTTTTAAAATTCTTGGTAGTATATCTTAGCTATCCAGAGGTATTTTAATATCTGACCATATATCCATGGAATGAACCTCAGTCTCACAGGTAGTGGCATTGGTTCACATGTCAAATCTACTTATCGTTTCTTGAAGAAACTACATACATTTCCATAGTGGTTGCATGGAATGACATTCCCATGAATTTTGTGTCAGTGCTCCCTTTCATTTCATTTTTGCCAGCATTTGTTATTTGTGTTCTTGATGATAGAAATTGTCAATGGAGTGTGGCAAAATTCAATGTTCTTTGGCTTTGCATTTCATTTATACAAAGGATGCTGAAAATCTCTTTGTGCATTTTATTATCCATTTAGATTCTGTATTTGACAAGTATCTTTAAGGTTATTTTCCAATGTGTTATTTGACAAATTGATTCCTTAAGAGTTTAGTTTTATGATTTCTTTGAATATTCTGGTTAATAATCACAGGCCAGATATTTAGCTAGCCAATTTTGTAGGCCATCTATTCACACTAAATCCTTTTTAATGTGTTGTACTGAAAGTTTTAATTTGATGTAATCCCACTTGTCAGTTCTTGCTCTTATTTACTGAACTATTTGAGTTTTAATCATGAGGTTATTGCCTAAACAAAATGTTTGATCAGTTTTTTAATCTGTAATATAGTACTGTATCTTAAATTTTAGCTCCTAAATTTCTGGAGCCGAGAAAAACAAGGAACATTCACAATTTAGGGCATACTGAAATATTGTGTTCATAAAGGAGAATCTCTATCAGTGGAAACAGTTAATCACCACATTTGATGACCTTGTGTGTACACATGTTGAGTCTTTGCAGCCAGTGTTCCTGCCTTGTTCATAGACTAGAAGTCTCCCTGCAGCCACCATTTGTTTCCAGGACACAAAATGGAAGATTGCAATGTGAAGCCTTTATGCATTTAGTGTTTTTAAGAATTAATACATATTAAATAGTTTACAAATTGTCTACATACACTAACAAAAACTCAATGCATTTCTTATCACAATGATCAATACAGGAAATATTTTTATCTGTTGTTTTAGTAACAGATGCATCATAAGCATCTCCTTAGAATCATTATATGTATACAATGTCATCCCTGATGCGATTTGGATGTCATGGTGCATAACGTTGTCATTGTGACATGGGCAGAGTTGAGCATTTTACAAGGTGTTCTGTAACTACACTTCACATGTTAAAGTCAGTGAATTCTTCAAAACATTCAATCTATACTTCCTGTCCATCTACCAGTAGTTTGCCAACATCCACCGGGAACTGAAACATCTGATCAAATTCAAATAACAATTATAATGACTGGAGATTTTTCACCTGCAAGTGAGGCCTAAGAAATAGAATCTGGGAAGTGGATTGCTCAGAACAGAACCCTCATTGTCTATTGCCAGCATCTTGTCTCAGAGGCCAGAGAGATTCTGGATTAGGCTGTTTCTGTGAAGTGGTCAGTCCCTGGCTGTGGCATGTTCTTGAATCATTTACTTCCTTCTGAACACAATGTTCTCTGGATCCAGCTTCAATTATCTGAGGCATGAGGCAAAAAAAAACCTGTGTATTAAGAGGGTACCTCTTTCTCTCTGAAAGGAGTATCGCTAACCTACATATAGACAGAGCAAGGACAGTTTACAACAGAGAAACCATAGTCACAGATTATCTGGGAAGCAGCTTACTGTCCTCATTCAATGTATAGATATGAACCACCTACACTTCAACAGCATTACATGAGGCACTAAGCATAGTTTACTACTATGATCAGGAAAACCTGAATTCTGCTGGGGCCCAGGCCAGAGTTGGTCATTAACACTAGAATTCCTAAATAGATTTAGTAGGAGTGAAATCCTCATGGACTCTAGCCATAATAAAATTCTCCCCTACTCCAGTCTGAACTTCACATAACAGTACCATCTCACAAACTCAGTCTGTTTTGGTCTGGAGTTTGGGTAATTTTCTTCAGCATGGCGATATTTGTTGTGAGGTCTGCTCCAGGCCATGCAGGCCCTGTGCAGACACCTCCCTACCTCCTGGCAAAGTTTCCACCCAGTATCTGTTACCTAGGTAACTGGCATACTTGAAAGCAGTCACCTACCCTCCTGATAGGTTACATCCTGGACTGCCTCTGGTCATGCCTCCCATCTGACCATAGAAGGGTCCCAGGCCTGAGGTCAGATTCAGATCTAATGTGGCCACACCTTTCCCCCACCTGGCCTTGCATTTTACTGTCCCAACCTAGATAAGTCCTGGTCTGGGGGTGGGTCTCTCCTTTCAGCTATGCCTCTCCACCATGCACTGTGGGGGCAGCAGTTTGGTAAATGAACTTTTCCTGCCTGAATAGCATGTGAAACCTACCTACTTAATATACCTTACGTTTGCATTGTGCCCTAGAGTGCTGAGGTATGGGGCTCTTTCCACAGGAGGAAGATACATGAGGGTACATGTTTTGAGCTCCAGTTGATAATGCACTCAGAGCTGAGCCCAGTGGCAAACCATCGTCATGACAGAGAGAGGAGGGTATGGAACATTTAGAAAAGTCTAGATCTACTAATAACACTTGGTTTCTGGCTTCCTCCCAAGAGGTTGGCACCACTATTTAGATTTCCCATAATTTCCATGCCTAGGCAGCCAGATGGGCTTAGCTTGTGTTGTGATGTTCTTTAAACTGGCAGCAACAGTCTCTGATCCCCAAAAACCATACGGTGATAAGGAAGGGAATTTATAGTCCTTCTTTTGATTCGGGTTGCCTCCTATGTACCTCAAGTGCCATCACTTGTATTCTGGGGACATAGCAGGATGAGCATTGAGAGATTTGTGAATCGCTACAATATACCATCTCCTGCCTCAGCTGAAACTCTGCAAATCTGGGTCAGACCTAGAATGCCATGCTCTCCTTCCCTTGGCCCGTAGAGGTCAAAGAGCCCAACAAAGCTAAGCCTGATGGTTCACATCCCTGGGCTGAAAAGGAGAGTATATCTGGACATCGACTGTTTAGGGCACCCCTGGGAAGATACTTCAACACTGGCCTTGTGCCAGGAGTAAGAAAACCCTGAAATACAAAAAAAGGGCAATGGAATTTTCTCTTTGAAGGTTGCAAACTGGATATTTTATGGAATGAGCATTTCTTTGTCTTTAGAAAGAATTGTAAGAGTAATATATAGCACCTTGTTGCCTCGTGCTGCTCTAACATCAGCCCCAGTATTTGTTCTGAATCAAAAGCCAGAGATAGATTTAGCTACATCACTGAGTCCAGCATGTAGTCCATGATCAGTGTTATTTTCACCCTAACTTTTGATGTCCAATCAATGGAGAGATTCAAGTTTTGCTCCACAAAAAGGGAAATTGCTAGACTATTTCCATTGTGACCCTTCTAGTAGTAATTCTAACATTAGGTTAATAGTGAGAGTCATAGCCAGCTCTAGCACCTGAACTTATATTAGATGCTGATACTGTACAAAG